CTGGCGGCAAAGTTAGACCGTTCTAAAATGCGAAAAAAAAAAACGCAATTCATCCTCTATATGGTCAATTCAACAACTTATACGTCTCAAAATTCGCAACGGATTTTTCTCATTTTTACTTTTAAATCAGCAAATTTTATTTTAGATTAAAATGAAAAAAATTCAGAACGTTTTTTCTAAAAAAAGACACTTTAAATTTTTTTTTAAAAAAACGTATTTTTTAGAGAAATAATTTTTACACAAAATATAAAAATCACAAGGTGATATCTTTACGGTCTCAAGAGTTACGGTAAGATTAGTGATAGTAGACTGGAAAAAATCCATAATTGAAGCAGTATTTTGGCGCTTTCGCAAGCCTCACAACCTCTGTTTCCACTAGAATTTTGTTTGTTTTTGTAGTATATATAAATGTAAAACTTTCCAACTCTACTATTTCCGCAACAGACAATAAGTAAAAATATATTTACTTTTAAAGAATTTCACAAAAATTTTTTAAGAAAAATTCACTATTATGATTAATTTTTCTTTTTTTATCGCTTTGCTTGCTTATTGAACCCTTCTAACTCAAATATACCACACTAAGTACTTTTTTTTTGACTGCTAGTATTGCTTTGCCGGTTTTCCTCTCAACGCTTTCTAGTATAATGCAGTGAAATTTTTTATGTGTTTCACTGATAGACGTACTCGAAAACGAGATACTGGAAGTGCTCCTCTCCTTTATATTTTTTTGAAGGTAATGGAATCACTAGTATTTCTTCTCTTTAGTTCGGAGCCTATTTGAAAAGGTTATTCTGAGTTACGATTTAGACTGAAAGTGTCTCCTTTATGCCGGCCATCGTTGCTGTTCTTCTCAATACGCCTTCAAGTTTCAATTTAATGCACTGCTGCAAAAACAGAAGAACAACAATACTCGCATTGATTTTATTACCTTTATGAAAATATTAAAAGAGAGGAGCATTTCCAGCATTGCGTTTTTGAGTACGTCTATCATTGAAACACATAAAAAATTTCATTGCATTATACTAGAAAGCGTTGAGAGAAAAACCAGCAAAGCAATACCAGCAGTCAAAAAAAAGTACTGAGTGTGATATATCTGAGTTAGAAGGGTTCAATAAGCAAACAAAGCGATAAAAACAGAAAAATTAATCATAATAGTAAATTTTTCTTAAAAAATTTTTGTGAAATTCTTTAAAAGTAAATATATTTTTACTTATTGTCTGTTGCGGAAATAGTAGAGTTGGAAAGTTTTACGAGATTTATATATACTACAAAAACAAATAAAATTCTAGTGGAAACAGAGGTTGTGAGGCTTGCGAAAGCGCCAAAATACTGCTTCAATTACGAATTTTTCCAGTCTACTATCACTAATCTTGCCGTAACCCTTGATCCCGTGAAGATACCACCTTGTGATTTTTATATTTTGTGTAAAAATTATTTCTCTAAAAAAAGTGTTCTTTTTAAAAAATTTAAAGTGTCGCTTTTTGAGGAAAAACGTTCTTCAATTTTAATCTGAAATAAAGTCTGCTAATTTAAGTGTATTACCACTTTTCTGAATCTGCAGAAGACAAACTTGCAAATAAAGCAAAAATGAGAAAAATCCGTTGCGAATTGCGAAACATGTACGTTGTTAAATTCACCATGTCGAGGGTAAATTGCGTTTTTTTTTTTT